TAATCCAATGAAATCCAGTAGTCATACAATGGAATGTTCTGCAGTGGTTAAAAAAGAACATATTGATATAGAAGTTTCTCTGAAGCAGGGGTAACATACCCCCAGGCTGCGGATCAATGCTGGTCCATGGCCTGTTAGGAACCAGGAACCACACAGCAGTAGAGTAGCCAGCGAGCCAGCTCCATCTTCTGTCAGTCAGTGGAGGCATTAGATTCTCATAGGAGCCGGAACCCTATTGTGAACTGCACATGCCAGAGATCTAGGTTGTGTGCTCTTTATGAGAACTTAATGCTTGATGATCTCCTCCTACCACCAATCTGTGGAAAAATTGTCTTCCACAAAACGGGTCCCTGATGCCAAAAAGTCTGGGGAGAGCTGCTCTAAAGTATACTGTTAAATGAAAAAAGCAAGGTTTGGAACATCTCGTATCATATATTACCATTAATGTTTAAAAAAATCCACTTTTGGCTGGGGGCAGTGGCTCATGCCGATAATCCCAGCACTTCGGAAGGCTGAGGAAAGAGGATTACTTGAGCCCAGGAGTTTGAGACAAGTCTGGGCCACACAGCAAGATCTCATCTCTACAGTGGGGCATGCCTGTAGTCCCAGCTACTTGGCAGGCTGAGGCAGAAGGATTGCCTGAGCCCAGGAGATCAAGGCTGTGGTGAGCTGTGATTGTGCTACCGCACTGCAGTCTGGATGACAGAGTGAGACTCAAAAGAAAAAAAATCCACTTTTACATATATGTCTATGTTTGAAAATGCTTGGAATATATCTAGAAGTAACACATAGTGGCAGTGGTTGCCTTTGAGACTGGGTGATTGGGGGACAGAGATGTAGAGAGACTTACTTTTCCTTATACGTCATTTTGTAGTTCTTGAATTTTGTACTGGACATGATTACCTATTTATAAAAATTTCACTGAAATACATATCAAAGTAAAAAAAGTGTACAAACTTATTTAAAACAGGTTAAAAAATGGATAGAGAATTTAATAAAATATATTGCTTCCAAATAATAAATAGCAAGTAAATTGTCCCAAATAGGAAGTTTTTGAATAGTCTGCACAGATTTAGGGGTGAAAGAGATGAATCTTACAAACCTCTCATAGATGAAATTTTCACAGTAGTCTATTTCTTCCCAACCAAAACCCCCCAGGGAAATCAGCTGAATACCGTATACTGTAATTTTATTTTTCATTTCCTTGTGTAAAAACACCCTAGGAGCTTTGCTGCAAAAAAGGAATTCCCTGGGATTTTAAACCAGCATGGTTTAGAAAAGTCTTAACTTCAAAGTTAGGTTCCCTATGTACCTGTCCATGGGTGGCACCTTTCAAAATGAAATAATTGGAATTCAGTGGAAGTAGCGGCAGCCACACCTGGGGTTTGGTGTTGGAACAGGCAGGAAATGTGGTCTGACACCCAGCAGCACAAAGCTGTTACAGAGAGCATTGTCAATTGAGTGTGTCCTTGATCAATCTGAAATGATTTTAACATTGAATCTAATATGTATATGCTTTGAGACTAAGTATGAGGAATGATCTCGCAAAGTTCTCACCGGGGTTTGGGGAGACACCCTTCCTGCAATGCTATCAGGATGAGAACAGTGTCTGCCACTGCCCACTAACCTTCTCTCCAAAAAAAAAAAATCCCTATGACCACGATGTGGAGAGTGGTGAGTGACCTTCTTAAAGGATTCCTCTTCTTGCAGAGTTCTCTCCCTTCCATCCTAGCTGTGGGGGTCATGTCACCCTTGTTTACATGGTAAAATTGAGCGCCTCAACTGCATTGCTTGTCAGTCTACCACTTTAGCCTTCCTTGTTATTTTAGTCCTGATACCTTTTCTGATCTCACATTATCCCCCTAATAATAATACTGTTAGTTCAGGAAGGGTCATAGCTTGAAGTCTAATTACCTTCATTAAGAAGAAACATCAGAAAGATGTGTTGACATTCAGTCAAGAGCAAGAATGTCAGAGGAGCTGGGGTAGAGGCCGAAGACCCACTTTGCTGTGTCTACTGTTTCACTGTGATGAGCCCTGGCTGAGCATTGCCAAATCATCTGCACATGTCAGCTCGTCTCAGGTGCTAGACTTGACCTGGATGCAACAGCTGGCCTGTTTCTGAAGTGCCTGGCACCCTCTGTGACTTAGTGCATTCTTACCGATTAACCCTGTTTTTAACTAATTGACCTTCCTTAAAAATGGCCACAGTTAAATTTCAAGTTCTGGAGGGAAATGGTAACAGAGTTTTATTCCCAGCAAGAGCCAGCACTTCAATTTTCAAAGGCTGGCTTCATCTTCTACCATTTACTAAGTTTTTGCTCAGTGCATTAGTAAATTTTCTTAGAGGAAATGAAATGGGGGGAGGAATGAAAGAAACTTGCGTTTGTCAAAACAGTTCTTTTGAAGGATTTTGTCCGCAACTGCTGACTTGTAAGAGGTTTGAGATGAACTCTGGATTTAATTGATTTGAGCTGTGTATTTCCCTGACCGCGGTAAATGACCAAGAATTGATTCTGGGTGGTAACAAAGCTGTATACTATCAACACTTGAGTGTCCCTTGTGGATGAGGCAAGGCATGCTAATACTGAAGCACAAAACAGATTCTTGCCCTTCTACTTGCTGTGGTCGGCTCTGAATGCACACACTGAGTGGGAAGGAGGTTACAGGGTGGCCAACTGCCTCACGGTTTCCTCCCCACCCCTCGAGGCCTCTGAGTCCCACTGCAACTGCATGGGCGGTCACTAGTGCGCCTGGAATTTGCATCATCAAATTCAAGGATAGACAGACACACCTTCTGAGATTCAGGCTAGTGTGTGTGAAGCATCTGTACTGATACCTGGCTTGTCAGTGGTGAGTGATACCTCTGAGGACACGGGGCAGACACTGAATCGATTTTGAGGAAGATGTGTTAGCTGTTGACCAACGGCCCCTTTGCGCTTTGTGGGCCCTCTTAGACCACTTGATTGCCATGAACTATCTCTGGCTTCTTTTCTTTTCTATTCTATTCTTTTTGAGTTGGAGTCTCACTCTTGTTGCCCAGTCTGGAGTGCAGTGGCATGCTCAAGGCCACCGCAGCCTTGACCTGCTGGACTCAGGTGGTCCTTCCGCCTCAGCCTTCCAAGTAGCTGGAACTACAGGTGCGCGCTACCACCCCCGCTAATTTTTTTGATTTATTGTAGAGATGCGGTCTCACTGCCCAGGCGGGTCTCGAACCCGTGGGCTCAGGCAGTCCACTCACCTCAGGCAGTCCACTCACCTCAGCCTCCCAAAGGTGCGGGATGACAGGCTGAGCCACTGAGCCCGGCTTAAAACTACCATTTTCTAGCAACAGCTTGAATTGTCCTAGAAAAGCATATCCTGCTTTCTGGTCTCCAAATGGTGATTTCCTTTGGACGCTCCACTATTTCTTTTGTTAATTATCACAGGCTCCTCCCTCTTTACCTCCTGACTTGTCTTTCTAGTCGAGACCAGTATCGAAACGTTTGGTTTCTTAAAATATTTAGCCAGCAAGTATTTTTTCTTTTAGCAAATCACAGTCTCGTTCCATGGTTCTAAATGGAATTTAGTCATTCCTTGCCTTCAAAGCGTAACATGGTCTCAAGCTCTTTGTATCTGTGCCTGTGGCACCTTCCAACTCCCCAGGACTCCTCCCAACTCCTTCATTTGTCATCTCCACATCTAGAAGGTATGATTTTCATCATTCTCACAACCTCGAGGAGTTTTCCAATTAGCAGTATGAGCTCTCCCTAGATCCCCACTTCCACAGCCCCTTCATAAATGTCCTAGAAACCCAACTAGCATCAAAAGTTGGCAGCACCTGTGTGTCCTTGCCCCGTAAAACCATCTTCATTTGCCGGCTAAATATTTTAATATTTTACCGCTTCAAACATGACACCTTTCTTGAGCTCACGTTGACACTCATTATCATGAGCCTGGAATGGAAGGCAGTGGGTTTGTGGAGGCTTCAAGTAGAGAGGAGTGCTGGCTTTTTCCATGTTCATACAGAACAGGATGAAACTGAAGCGGCTATGTAGATATTTTAGTCCCACTAGAATTTTTGCTCCATTACACAACAACTTTAGGAAGTCAAAATTTCAAATTTGAGAAAGAAGCAGGAATTTTGTCATGTGATGCACATTGTCCACCTTCTGCAGAATGTTTGTTTCAGTTAATTTGTGACATTTTCTATCTTTCTTTCATTCTTTTGTTTGTTCTTTTATTCTCTCTCTGTTGCCCAGACTGGAGTGCAGTGGCACGATCATAGCTCACCGCCACCTCCAACTCCTGGGCTCAAACCATTCTCTTACGTCAGCCTCCCGAGTAGCTGGGACTACAAGTATGTGCCACCACCCCAGGCTAATTTTTTATTTTATTTTTTTAAAGAACATATTCTTTCCTTTGAAAAGGTGCACAGATAACACAGAGAGATCCAGATCTTTTTTCAAAGGTACAAAGATTGGGGCAATATGAGGGATGGTACGAAGATGAGAAGTGAACTTTACGCTACATGTCCAAAGCCCCAAATAGAAGAACCATAGATATGTCTGATATAGCAGTGAGTATATGTGTGTAGGTGTGTGTAGGTGGTACACACACATGCATAAACATGCACACACACAGTGGGACTCGTGACTCCAAAGTAATGTAGCAGATTGTCAGACGTGGTTCTTGGAAGCGTTCTTGTTACATTAATATCTTGGCCTCTACGCATGTGAATTTCATGCATCTAAGTATACATGTGCCCACACACATGAGCTCACAATATAAGATCCAAAGTGCTAACTAACATTAGAGATATTGCAGTTAAATGATGAAAAGCGAGCATTGAGGTTTGTGTTGTATATGTTTACAACAAGATTTGGAATTCAGGGACCTGCTGTTTTCACAGTCGCCGCCGTTCTCTGCACAGCCTGTTTGGAAATGTTACAGTCCCTGAGAGACCGGCTCCCTCATGAATAGGCAATTAGATGCCTCCTCCCTCCAGGCTGCGAGAGATGCTGCTTCCCTCCTGGAATTTTCTCCACTTTTAGCAAACGTGTGCTCAACTTGTAAATGTAGTTTCCAGCACTGGTAAGAATATTTTTGTTTTGAATAACAATCACGTTCTTTCCCACAGCGTGAGGTCCTCTGCTGAGTAGCAAGGAGCCCCCCTTGCCCCCTCCCTGGAATCCGGCATCGTCTTGCGGCGGCAGGCAGCAGCGCCTGTCTCAGAATCTTCTTCATAAACACTGCGCGGCACAACCGTCTCCTGAAGTACGTAGTCAACATAATTGTTCTCACATTAAAAAGAAGAGGAAAACAAACAAGGGCGCCGCTCTGCCCAGCCCTTTTCACAGCACTGTGGGGAGCTGCAACGCAGGCTGCCCGGGCCCCTGGTTCTCCCTCTCCCGAGTTGGCTGCTCAACCCTGCTAGGTCTCAGTTTCTCCTTTTGAACAGTGGGCTTCGTTTGACTGTTGGGTGGACTAAATGAGGTAATCCATACAAATTCTTAGAACACTACCTGGTGCTGTAAGCTCTCCATAACCAGTGCTGCCTCTGCTCTTTTGGAAGGTAGATTTTATAGGAAATGGGTCTTCTACCTACAAATTCTAATATAAATGTAAGCATAAACACCTTTTAGAGCATATAGTTATATTTTTTTCTCCAGATTTCGGCCTGACCTCCTTTTTCTAGCCAATGCTTTTTTTTTTTTTTTTTAAATCAGAATTGAGCCCATTATAAAAATATCCCGTTAGTGTCAGAACCTTAGCCTTCCTTAAAAACCCTTTCCCAGCTCCCTATCATCTATAGGAAAAAAATCCAAATTCCTTAGTAAGATGTAAAAGACTGTTTGCAATATGGCTACCAACAACATCTCAATTTCATCCCATGAGACACACTCCAGATGTATCTTATGTTGCAGCAATACTGAACTGGCCATGGTCCGGCTACGCCAACTCCTTTACTTCATGTCCCTGGGCCTTTGCAAATGCAAATACATGAAATACTGTCTGCCGCTCTTGACTTTCTGGGACAGCTCTGCCTGGTTCTACCTCTGCGTGTCTTCTCTCAGACTCGTGTTCCCCCATGGCCCCCAAGGTATTGCCTCCGCCCTCCATGCCTTGTCCATAGTTTCAGTCTTGTAAATATCACCTGATGCCGCAATGCATTTGTTTACAAGTATGTCTCCCCCGTTTGGTGATGAACTGGGTCTTATTTATTTTTGTGCTCTGGCACTGAACAAACAGCACAGACCCAGTGTCTCAAAAAATTGTTTGTTTACCGTTAAATTGAAATAGGGAACCAATATGTATATTATTATTATTATTATTATTTGATTTGTAGTTTCACTCTTTCATCCAGGCTAGAGTACAGTGGCAAAATAAAAACTCACCACAGACTTGATCTCTGGGGTTCAGGTGATCCTTTTGTCTCAGCCTTCCAAGTAGCTGGGACTACAGGCATGTGCCATCACACCTGGCTAATTTTTTTATGTTTTGTAGAGACAGGGTCTCACTATGTTGCCCAGGCTGTTCTCAAACTCTTAGGCTCAAGCAATTCTCTTACCTTGGCTTCCCAAAGTGCTGGGATTACAGGCATGAGCCACTGTGCCTGGTCAATATTTATATTATTGAAACTGGCACTGCAGAGGTTTTAAAAAAAATTTTCATTATAATAATGGTCAGCTATTATATTTAAAATATTTTGCAGAATAAGGCCCATTTATATAAATGAAGAGTGGTTGAAGCAACAGCAAGCCTGGAGATTTTAGGATTAATTTTGTTTGATTCAACAAGTTTTGCTCTGAGTGCTAGGATAAATAACGAAGATGAAACAAGATACTTTCTGTTTTCTCAAGGAGCGTTCACTCTAGATGGGGATAAAACAAATAATTAGAAGTAGAGCAAAATTCATTCCCTTGGAGGTAAACAAAGAGAGCTCTGGAGGTTTGAAGGATAGATCAGCTCAATGCAACTGGGGATAAGGAAGAGGTGCTGGGTGGACGTGACAGTGCTCGAGAGTGACCTTGTTGTGCTAGGCGGAGAAAAGCAAGCACGTTCCAGGCAGAAAGTACAATGGGTGTAAAAATCTAGAGCTGACTAACAGGATCTACTTGGAGACCAGCAACCATCTACCGGGCTCCATCTTTTGCTCCATGTGCAGATGTGTGGCAGAAAAGGATGAAAAGCAAGTTTGTGGACATTTTGCAAAAGGTCCCGAGACCCAGAATGAGGACATTTGACTTAAAATTTAGTGAGCACTGGGGAGCCATCAATATTTTTGAGCAATATTTATCGATTTATATATATTTTTATATTTTTGAGTCATAGTTCTATAAATAGAAGAATGCTTAAGGAAACTTGGATTACTAGCATATATGTACTGCACTGGAGAAGGAGAACTTCACAGTAGGGATTTGAGAGAGGAGACCACTGGATAAGTGTAAATGGGAGGTGCTAGCAGCAGAATATAGTATCCGAGAGACCTGGTGGAATTGAAACAGAGAACATGGCGGTCATTTTGATGTGAGGATGAGTGAGAAGAAAGAGTTCCATGTGATGTTCAGGTGTAAAGCCTGGTGATAAAGGAAGCCACGGAACCATTAAGAGAATTTGAGAAATCAAGTCATATTGTTGGGAATGTTGCAAATTTGGTAGGGACCATGTTGAGTTTACCGGTTTCCAAGTAGATCTGAAACGTAGGAGAGAGGTCAGAGTTAGAGCTGCATACGTCTAAGGATCACTGACATCGGAGAATAGATATTGTGTTGAGGAAAGGAAGGACTTTAGTTAAAACCTTAGATGACACCTACATTTAAGAAGTCAGGCCGGGCTCGGTGGCTCAGCCTGTAATCCCAGCACTTTGGGAGGCCGAGGCGAGTGGATTGCCTGAACCTGCAGGTTGGAGACCCACCCGGGCAACCTGGCGAGACTTCATCTCTACAATAAATCAAAAATTAGCTGGGTGTGCTAGTGTGCTCCTTTAGTTCCAGCTCCTTGGAAGGCTGAGGCAGAAGGATCGCCGGAGCCCAGCAGGTCGAGGTTGCGGTGGCTGGGAGTATGCCCCTGCACTGCAGACTGGGCAACAGAGTGAGACTCTAACTCAAAAAAAAGGTCAATAAAGGAGAACAATGTAGTGATAGAACCAGTATAGATAGTGCAATCCAATGGAATTCTAAGAAAAGGTTTTGAGAAGGAGGAACTATTCCTGGAAAAAAATGTAGGTCCACTCATTACTTGACATAGTATAAACATTTATCTGAACTTCCATAGCTCTTTGGAGCTCATATTTCTTTGTAATGATTTATTTATACATCTGTCTTTCCTACCAGACTAGGAGTTCCTCCACAGTAGAAACATGTCTTACTTGTGTTTTTCCAGCACTTAGCAGAATACCTGGAATATGGCTAGGGCTCAATGATTGTTGAATGACTGTGTAAACAAAGCAACAGGGAAGATGCTCATTGTATTTGAGAAAGAGGTATAGTTCTTGAAATAAAGGAATGAATGTCTGAATAATTTTATGCTCTTGAGAGAGGAAGAAAGAGAGTTTATGAAAAGGTAATTCAAAATTGAACACTTGGAAAAATTCTGAATCCTCCACTATGGCATGAAATTCATCATCTAAATTCTCATAGATTAAAGCTTCTTGATTTGTGAGGAATGCAGTGAAATTATCTAGGAAGTAAAGACTTCTATAACATTCCAGCTGCGTGAATTCAACTGGCCACATGATTAATGACTTTGCTAGGCACATTCAGGGCCTTTCATTTCCCAAGCACTTTATAAACATTGAATAATCTCACAATACCCTTGTGAGATATTATCATGTTCATTTTCCATATGGTTAACTGAGCCAAAGAGGTTAAGTGACTCGCTCAAAGGCCACACTGGAAGTCAATGACATAAAACGTTCAGAACGAAGGAATTCCCAGGTTTCATACCTCACTGTAGATTGCTGAACTGAATCTCACTCCGTATCCTGCTAAGAAGCCTGACTGACAGGCCAGTGCTGTAACAGATTATGCTTTACAGCTGAGATAAGTGAGGATTAGCATGCTGTCTCTAGCAGGTCAGGGACGGCCCCTGGAAAGAACAAAAACTATGCTCTGCAGGACCATGCGATATAAGACATGCCTGGACAAAGAAGAGCAGAAACGGACATGGGTGAATTATACGTGGGTGAATTACCTCAGTGGATTTCCAAAGACCTTTCCCGAGATAGGAACCTGGGTGGGGATAGAGAAAGGCAAGCTTAGCAAGTCAATGGGTGAGCATCTTAAATCTGAACATTGATGCCCTCTTGCTTTCCTTATAAATTTTTGTGTTATTCTTTACCATTGAGTTTTGATTTTAATTGTCTTTTCACACTTCTCCTATCTCCGTATTTCTCAACTTGGTTCTCCTTTGGTCTAAAAATATTGTCATGATGTCAACACCTGTGCACATGGCCTTTGAGAAAACCACTTGCTTTTAATGAATTGGTAAAGTGAAAATTGACAGTCCTCATTAGTGCATTAGGTTGAGATGAATGTTTTTGATTTGCAATGATGTATTCATAGCCAGGTCTTAAAACCTTTTTTAGGGCTTAGTTTTCTACAAATGAAGATCAGAGTATGGAGCGGATGCTGTTGAAACCTTGCACGTATCTCCCTAGGCTCCTTGTATAGGGAGCTCAAAGACCCAGTGACTTCTACTGCAAGCACTTGTGACTTTTTGTCTGCAGGCTTTCTCCGACTGCTGGGGCAGGTGAGAGGCATGGGCTGCTAGTGCCCTGGGAGCAGACCACAACCTCAGCTATCTTGCCTCTCTGATGTGTACCATGCAGCTTCCCAGCATTTCCTTGGCAGGATTGCACCTCAGTTACCTGCAGCAGGAACTTGTTTGGTAACAAATACTCTCCCTGTATTGACTTTTCTTTCTTTCCCTGTCTCACTTTCCCACTCTCTTAGTAGAGCTACCTTGGCTTACTGTCCAAATAAACCACTTGCACCCAAAGCCTATCTCAGGGTCTACTTCTGGGCCGGCCTAACTTAAAGCCACTATAAGAGTTACATGAGTATCAAAGAATAAGGAGGCTTTGAAGTCCT